AGTGGCTTCCTGTGTATCGTGGATTAACTTATCCTAGTTTAACCTTTGGTCACCCCAGGGTCTTTGTGCCATACTAGGCCATATGCAGATGATTGCTTGTTTTGGAGGAAGCTTTACATATGTGTTGTGTTTAAGGAAATGAACGTAGGCCCTTTAGTCTCAGGGGAATGCTATTGGGACAACAGGAGATGTTTGCTATAATGTGTCCAAAAGCATGGTAAACATGAGAGCCAGAGATGACCCCTGGGAGACATACACAATTAAGTTATCGCTGATTCTGAGCTTTGATGTCCCCTTGTGTTCATTGTGAAGGAAAGATTCAAAGAAAAAGCCAGAGAAAAATGCAAAGGGGCTTCAGTCCTAGAGGCTGCTGTTGCCCTGATTCTGTAATTTCGTCTCTCTCTTGTTTTCTTTCCATCTGCCACATCTTGTTTTGGGGACCTGTCTCCTCATAGAAACCAAGAGTTTCCAACATCTCCCTCTTTTCCTGTTTCTGTAGCTGATTCAATTGAATTTGGAGGAGCTGTGTTTGGAGGACTCTGCAGACAAATTCTTTCCTTATTGTGATACTTCTCTACTGAATGTTTAAGGCCAAAATAAAGTGAGATGTGTACTAATCAAAATCAATTTCTTGCTATCAGGGTCAGGCAAGTCTCCTCAGGACTTACCCTGCTGCACATACAGCACTTTTTAGTATTTCTGTCAGTGTCAATCATCTGGATGGAGCAGAGCCAATCCTTGACCAAGCTGATTTCTGTGAAATCTTAGATTTCCTCACCTGGTGACTCTCCTTAGGCAAAATCTATGTCACTGATCACCTCCATCTCTGGGCCCACTATCTCCTTGGTTAGAAGACCAGACACTCACCAAGTAATGGGATGTTGCAATAGAGGTTCTTTCATGTCTTGGGTACTTTCCAGCCTTGGAGGGCTAGAGCCAAAATATTGACTGTCCTCTACCCCATCTATCTTTTTAATTTTTTTTTTGTCTCTAAATCTGAGCTTTTGAGCATCCAGAAGAGAAGACTAATGACATTATATTATAATGGATGAAACAATCTTAATATTACTATCTTATCTGAATATCAAGCACCTTAGAACATAATATAGAACCATTATGCTTTAACAACCCTGAATATTCTAATATTTGAATTTTTAAAGAGTATTAATATATAACAGTTACATATTTTACACAGAAAAGTAGAAATGAAAAGCCATACATAGAAGAGACCAAGAGAGAACACAGCACCTCTGAGAGTTGCCATTCAGCCACTGGATTATAGCATCATGAGGAAGACAAGAAGGAGGGAAGTGGGTCTGGACCCAGGAAGATTCTGAAGTGTGAATGGAAGTCCATAGAGAAGGTGAAGAGAGAAACACAGTCTTGGTTACTATTCTCTCATTGCCAAGACAACAAGTTGATGCCCAAAATGAAGGAAGGAAAGATTTATTTGGCTTACCGTTTTGGTCAGTCTCAGTCCATGCTCAGCTGGCTGTAAAACAGGGTGGAATGACTGAGGGCGACCATCATGGCAGCTGCTAACGACAAGACCTAAAAGTGCAAAAGGGAAACACATGCTTCCTTCCCTCCTTTATATTGTATGCTGGCTCCCTGCCCTGGGCAGGTGCAGCACTCATACTACCAATCCCAGCCATAAACCAATCACAAATGCTAGACTAAACCACCCTCAAAGGCCCACCCCCATGATCACTTGAGGCTTTAGGGGGACATTTAAACAACCCACAACAGACAACAGTGAAGAAAGTGGTGGACAGCAGCATCTTCTCCCTGACATGGGACTCACTCCAGGAGAGTATAATTACACTACTGATTTCTCTGAGATTGTTGAAGAGAAGAGTTTGCACTGGTACAGTTTGGAAAACTGAATGTGGATGTCTTGTGCTCTGGGTGACCGATTTGGGGATGGGAATGTGCAGTGAATGTAAGATTGTTGTTCCCTGATTGTTGTGTTTTGAAACTTTGTTTTATTTTTTTTATCTTTGAAATGAAATCATATATTTAAAAATTGCAGCATGAGAATCATTCTGATATTTTGGAACATAGTTTAATTTTTATTCTGACATATTACTCCCCCCTTTTCAATTATCTTTTCCTAATACATAAGATTTTACCTAATTGATCCACCTTTAAGGTGATGTACATTACATAATTCCTTTGTTAAAGACAGACTTCTAAATCTGAAAGAAAAGTTTATCACTAGAAACTGTCCTTATTCCGCACTTTGGAAGACCTGTACATCTGAAAGTATGAGTACATTCAATACACTACAGAATCAACAATGACCAGTAATCACTGACATACGAACACCTTAGTGTCAAAGCATCTTTAAATCAAAAAATCTTATTGTCTTAAAGACTTAATCCTCTTAGTGATGACCAATGTAAACATATCACAATAATGTATTTTTATAACATTTATGGGAGTATCTTCCATAAAGCTATGAAAACCATCGGAGCTTCCTATTAATGAACAAAGGCTGGGATTTTTTCCCATGAGTTTTTCCTTTATTCACCCAAGGGAACATAACCAATAAGTCTTCAAACCCAAAAGGTCCCCTTAGTTATCTTAGCAAATTTCTGATGACCTCTGAGGAAACCCATTTTGATATTATCTGACCAGTTGGTGCAGCATACTTTTAGATCTATAACCCAGGTTAACTTATGAATAGATAATCCAAAAATGTAAAAGGAAAAGATTAAATAAAAAAAATTCTTGAGCTCACATAAAAACAGCTGTTTATGGATATGACAAGCAGACAAACCAACATGCAACTTTTCAAATTGACAATCAGTCAAACAGATACACAGGCAGACTGACAATCAAAACATCTTACAAAATCAGAGTGTACTCAAGTAGATTTTAACTGAATTAAATTACAAGACCACTTTTACAATTTTAGGAATTTATAAGTGAAATGTAAACTATTGAGATTTTATTTCAAGTCAGAAAGCAGCGATCTCTTACAAAAGCACTTACCAACAGTTAATATATATTTTTGTATTTTACTTTGTCTTAAGAATAATCAGTAGTCTTGTGTCTCTTTCTTTCACATTGTTCTCAGTTCAGTTATCTCTATATACTTTATTGCCTTACTGAGACCTTGATTCCTATTTTCGGTGACCATCTCCTGGGTATCCTCAGTCAATTCCCTTAATTAGCCCTAGGTCAGGCCCAGTCCCATCCTTGTTTGCCAGTTGTGGCATGGTTCCTGAGGCATTACTGTCATCAGCTATTTGAGCAGTGGGATCAATTCCTTCTCCAGATCTGTGTTCACGATACAACTAGACAGCATGGCACCCTGGTTGACTGTTCAGTGTTTTTTGGAAAAACACAAGCACACTCTTTACTCCCAGGGAGTAGTGGATTGGTATCTTCCATTGTGCAGCATGAAGGTCTTTCCTAAGGATCCTTTCTATGCTCTTTTCTTTTACCTGAAGAAAATGTACTTCTGCTGCTGTAGTTTCATCTTAAAGGGATCTAAAAAGTTAACAGTATATACTTCCTGGTGAAGTCTATTATGAGGTGTAAATTTTGTAGGGAAAAAATTTTGCCTTTTGTATTTGTAATCAAATTTTGAGTGTAAAACAAGTACATTCAACAATTCCTTGACCTTGAGGTTTATAAGGAATTTCTGTTGTCAGGGAAATATGAAAAGTGCTACAAAACATTTGGAAAACAACACTTCTATGGGCTGACCATTATGATTTAAGCAGCTGCAGGCAGAGGAGGGTACTAAAGGCAGCCAAGCAATGAGCAGTGACAAGTTTAGCTGTTCCACCATTGTAGACAAAACCAGAAATAAATCCTGACGAGGTGTTCCCTGAGATGTGGACCCAGCATAGAGAACCAAACTCAAGAACATGAGTGATATTCATTTGCCAGATATAATTGGCATATAATTCTCAGGGGCTACCCACCAAAGAGAGTGATGGAAAATGTGTTATATCTGAGGCACATTGTTTGATAATTTGTTGCATTAAAGAAAGCTGTTTGCACAAGACAGAGGCACTCTGGTGAAAGGTGACCTGTGAAACAGAAACTTGTTGAATGGCATTTGAGGGAGTGGCAGTGACAGCAGCTAGCAATCTGTCTATGCAGCATTTCCCTCAGTGAATGGACCTGGTAATTGAGAATGACAATGTAAATGACCAAAAAAACAGATGATATGATGAGGCTGAATAGTAAACTGAAGAGTGCAAAACAAATAGAAACTATCTGCTTGGTTAGTGTGAATGGTGGCAGTTTCAGTGTGGTGCATTACACCACAAAGATAAGCACTATATGCAAAAAGATTATTTGGAGTGGATGTATGATCTTGTAAGGCCAATATAAAAGCTTGAGATTCTGTCTTTTGTGTAGTTAAAAACCTGTAGCTTGTATTCAGGAAGAGGAAGCTATAAAATAACCTTATTTGCCCGAAAAGGAACCATCTCTAAAAACAGACACACCTCTGGCTATAGGTTGAGCTTATTTTAGAAGGGAAAACAGAAGATGTGACAGAAGAAAATTGAACTAATTTGTCTGGAGGATAATGACAATCAAGTACACCGGGGAAGTTTGCATATATGGCTTGCCAAGAGGGTGAGACTTGCTGTATCCAGTTGTTGGACTCAAGAAAAGCAACAATAATATTATAAACTTCACATCCAAGACATTGAATAGCACACATCTGTCCATGGGTCATTGGTCCCTGCCACAGTATCACAAAAGGCAGTAATGGCATTATGTGGAATACATGGCATATGCAGTCATTGTAAAGGGCCCTGAGACTGCTAAAGAACCCCACTGGGCATACACTATATTGGAAAAATAATTAAAAACATTGATGAAGAAAGGTTAACTCTAGGGAGTAGAGCATCAGAAAGACATAGATTGCTTTGGCAGTTTTAGCCTCTGACCTAACTGTACTTCATGAGGTGAAAGCTAAATCCACCTTGAGGATGTTGAAGAAAGAGGCTAAGTCAGCTCCGGGCAGGCTACTGCGCATTTCTTGCGAGACCCGCCTCCTCCGTACCAAGGCGGTGTCTGAGCCGCTGAGAGCCGAGGACCATCCAAGACGCGGCGGGACCGAGAACACGCGGACACCGAGGGCCGGGACAGCACGGACCATGGCGCTGAAGCGGATTAATAAGGAACTTAGTGATTTGGCCCGTGACCCTCCAGCACAATGTTTTGCAGGCCCAGTTGGGGATGATATGTTTCATTGGCAAGCCACAATTATGGGACCTAATGACAGCCCATATCAAGGCGGTGTATTCTTTTTGACAATTCATTTTCCTACAGACTACCCCTTCAAACCACCTAAGGTTGCATTTACAACAAGAATTTATCATCCAAATATTAACAGTAATGGCAGCATTTGTCTCGATATTCTAAGATCACAGTGGTCTCCTGCTTTAACTATTTCTAAAGTTCTTTTATCCATTTGTTCACTGCTAGGTGATCCAAACCCAGATGACCCCTTAGTGCCAAAGATTGCACGGATCTATAAAACAGACAGAGACAAGTACAACAGAATATCTCGAGAATGGACTCAGAAGTATGCCATGTGATGCTACCTTAAAATCAGAATAACCTGCGTTATAGCTGGAATAAACTTTAAATTACTGCTCCTGTTTTGATTTTCTTATCCGGCTGCTCCCCTATCAGACCTCATCTTTTTAAATTTTATTTTGTGTTTACCTCCCTCCATTCATTCACATTCTCATCTGAGAAGACTTAAGTTCTTCAAGCTTTGGACAATAACTGCTTTCAGAAACTGTAAAGTAGTTACAAGAGAACAGTTGCCCAAGATTCAGAATTTTTTTAAACAATGGAGCATGTGTATTATGTGGCCAATGTCTTCACTCTAACTTGGTTATGAGACTAAACCATTCCTCACAGCTCTAACTGCTGAAGAAGCCATCTGAGGTGGGGGGATGGATGCTCGGTTGTCTCGGCAAGGAAGCAACATTATTCTAGCAGCATCCATTCTTGTTAAACCTTCCATTGTTAGAGATTTGAGATTACGTGATATACTTTATGCTCATAACTGATGTGGCTGGAGAATTGGTATTGAATTATAGCATCAGCAGAACAGAAAATGTGATGTATTTTATGCATGTCAATAAAGGAATGATCTGGGGCTGGGGCTTTAGCTCAGCGGCATAAGCACTTGCCTTGCAAGCAGGCGGTCGTGAGTTCGATCCCCAGTACTGATAAAAAAATGAGAAAAAAAAATAAAGGAATGATCTGTTCTTGTTCTACAGAGAATGGAAATTGGGACTCAGAACACCCTTTGTATTCCAAAATAGGCTCTCAAAACATTTTGTAATTTTCAATTAAATTGTTAGGAGGCTTGGAGCTATTAGTTAATCTATCTTCCAATACACTGTTTAATATAGCACTGAGTAAATGATGCAAGTTGTCAATAGATGAGTGATCAACTAATAGCTCTGCTAGTAATTGATTTATTTTTCTTCAATAAAGTTGCATAAACCAATGAGTTAGCTGCCTGGATTAATCAGTATGGGAAACAATTTTTTGTAAAATGCAAAGCTGTTTTTCGTATATATTGTTGGGATTTGCTTCATTGTTTGACATCAGATAATGATGTAAAGTTCAAAAGAGTGACTATTTTGCCATGTTCAGTTAAAGTGTACAGTCTGTTACAGGTTGACCTGTCGCTTGACCTGACTTACGCAGAATAATAAGCTATTCAGATAGTGTAGCTTCAGTGTGCTGCACATAGTGTACTGGTAGCCCTGGAGATCAGAGATGGACTTGGGGCCCAGCAGCTTTGAAATGTATGGAGTTGAAGAAATGTACTTTGCAGGTGCAACCCCCCCCATCTAATATGTCTTCAACTTGTACACTTGATACCTTAAGAAAGCCACAACATGGGAATAATAGTGGGTCAATTAATAAAGTACTGTTTTAGTGTGGGAGTTGTCATGAGGCTGTGTTGAAGTGATTAACTGGGATATTTGAGTATCCGTTGAAATGGATTCGTTCAGCCATTTACTTTGAGCATTTCAGTGCAGCAGATACCATTGCAGGTGACATCACGTGAATGAATAAAAATCATATACTATTAGATTCTTTTCTGTTTGACAAGTGCTATCTTTGCCACTGAACTTCGGTAGTACAAGGGCATTGCCATTCTTCACCCTAATTCTGCTTTTTTCTAGTTAATTTGTTTTACCCATTGTTTTATTTCAAGTCCTATATGCAGTTTCTAGCAAATGTGATGCCTCCACTTTCACGTTTTTGCCCTGCTTACACTTTACATGCAGTCTTGTGTGCACACAGATGTGAAAAGCTAGAAATAAATGTTAAATCTTAATTTTTACAAGAATTTTTTTAAAAAAGAAAAAAAAGAGAGAGGCTAAGTCATACGTTGTTAGCTTAAAAGGTGGGCAGAACCAATTAATACTATCAAGTAGATTTAAAAATCAATTAGGGTTGTACGATGGTTAACCTGGATCTGAACAGTTTGGGGTGTGATATGCTTTCGCTGAATAAGGTGACCCAAATATGAAAAAGGTTCATGGTTTGTATCTATTCAGGGGCCACCACTATACTTGTACCATGAAGGGTATTATCTAATTGCATGCATACTTGAGGCAAGATGGATAAGGATTTATGTGCTAGAAGGATATCATCCATGTAATAGATAATACTGGCAACAGATAAGCCTGATGGACTGACAGGATGGCTACAGACATAAACTCTTGACATAAGGACTGTTATAGTGGGCTATTTGCCATTCCATGTGGCAGATGATGTCAGTGGGAATAGTGCATAGGGGCTTGATGATTAATAGATGGTCAGTTGAAAGCAAAAATGTTTTTATCTTGAGGATGGAGAGGGATAATTAGAAACAGTCTTCTAAATCAATCACCATGTGAGAATAATGTAAAGGGACAGCTACAGGGTTAGCCACACAGATTGAAGTGCTCCCATAGGTTCCATGGTATTAACTGCCTGTAAACCCTATAGCAATCCCAACCTCTCTGATGCCTTTTTTATTACAAAAGTTGGGGTATTCCAAGGAGTATTGGAAGACTCTAAATGCTTCACCATCTCCTGTTCATTAGGTCGTATATGAGATGCTATAAGCTTCTCCTGAGGGAGGCACCATTGATCAACATAAATAGGATCAGCAGACATCCAGGTTATCCATGGGGCTGGAGAAGAGATCCAGGCCCCTTCTGAAAATCTGAGGACAAGTGTATTATTCTAAAAGGGTCCTTTTTTTGATCTACTGGAAGGGCCTTTCTCATTTCCTGATTATAGTTACCAAACCCTTGAATGGGAGAAAGCCCCACTGTAACATCTGGTGAACCGCTGGTGGTTTGGACCAACGCAAAATGCCCTTCTATCCTGTAATATGTAATATGTAAAGATGGTGGGTATATTGGGCAGGATATAAGGCAAAAAGTATACAGAATGGTCCTCAGCCTCCCTTCAAACCAGCAAGTTAGCACTGCCCAACCCTTCTAGATCTGTAGTTGCCACACTCAGAGACTATGACACAGGATAGTGATGTTGGGTAATAAATGAAACGTCTGCATTTATGTCTAAAAGCCCTTTAAATGTTTGTCCTTCAATAACCAATTCCACCTCAGGACAATGTTGTTTAATATGTCCAACCAAATATATATATATATATATATATATATATATATATATATATATCTGAGGACCCAGAATATTTGCATCCCCTTTCCATCCTTGTAAAATTTCCAACTTTTGTTAAAAGAAGGCTGAAAAAATGAGTGATACAGGAATTTGTCATGGAGGTCCAGAAGAACATAGTGGATAGATAGCAGCAGCTTTGGAGGCTCTCTGAGAAACCGCACTTGAAATCCAGGAATGGTGCTGGGCAGTAAGTCCTAGGCAAGGGGGGATATTCTTTGCCGACCCAGGAACAAACTAAATTAAGAGAAACCAACTGGAAACACAATCCTGGTGCTACAGCAGGAACAGATAAGGTCTCAGCACAGAAGCTGGACCCTGTGCCACTGGAAAGTGTGATTTGAATTTCCTGCAGCCCCTGCTGCTTCTTGGTTGGCATGGCGGGAGGAGAGGTACAAAGGCTCTGAGAGTGAGAAGCATTGAATGGAGTTGGGAGCGGGACTGGCCGGGTGCCCTGCATCGACCTACGGTGAGTGAGCAAATCGGGGACCCTGCCATAGAGAAGGAGGCTTCAGCGGAGGACATACTCAGACCGGGCAGACTTCCCGGAACGAGATGCTGCAGTGACTTCAGTCACATATCCCTCTCTCAAATGGGATTGGTGGGGAGTGCCTGGCCTGCGAGACACCACTGGCTGAGACCCAGTAGGCTAGCCCAACCCAGGTCCCAGCGCCTGGAGGTGCACCCTAGCGGTGAAGCCTTCGGTAGGTTGACCTGGAGGGGCAGGCCCAGCATAGACTGCCCAGGTCTGTGTCTCCCTGGTGTGCTGCGGTGGGCGGGAACACCTAGCTGGCACAATTCAAACAGACTGTGGCCAATAGGGAAGGAAGCTGGGCCTCCTATATACACTTATATATAAGGAACAAAGAATATGGGAAGAGGGAGCAACAAGAAAGAGTCCTTGGCCCCCAATCCTGAGAAACAGGCAATAGTAGACACAGCACCAATAGACATAAAGCGATATCCCCAGAGCCTCATAGACGAGTTCAGGAATGAAGTTATTAATGACCTGAAGCAAGACATAAGCAGAATAGTTAGAGAAATGCTAAGAACCACCCAAGAAAAAACAGATGGTGGAATGGAAGAACAGAAAAAAAGGGGAGAATTGTTTGATGGAGAAAATAGAGAAAACATAGAATACGTGAAGCAGGTTCAAAGAGATTACCAGGAAACTAAAAACTCTATCAAAAACTGGCATAACAGCTTGAAAGAAACTAAGGATAGATTATCTGAGCTGGAGGGCAGATTTGTAATATGGGAGCATGAAATGAAAAACTTCTTAAAAATAACAAAAAAACAAACAGCAACAATACAAAAGCTAGACGATGATAAGAGGATCTATAACTTAAGAATTAAGAACATAAGAGTAGAAGTGGGGACACAAACAAATGGACTACAAAAACTATTCACAGAAATAATCCAAGAGAATTTCCCTAATTTGGCAAATGGTAAAGATACTCAGATATATGAGGCATACAGGACTCCAGCCACCTACAACCCAAACAGAGCTACACCCAGGCATATAATAATCAAAATTCCAGAAATCCAGTATAAGAACAGAATATTAAAAGCCGACAGAGACAAGAAACAGATCACTTACAAGGGAACACCCATCATAATTACAGCAGACTTCTCAGCACAAACCATCAAATCATGAAGAGTGTGGGGGGAAATAATTCAAGCTTTGAAAGATAATAACCTCCAGCCAAAATTGATATATCCTGCACAACTGTCCCTACAAATTGATGGAAAAACAAGGTGCTCCCAGGATAAAGAGGAACTAGGGGAATTTGCAACCACCAATTCAACTCTACAGAGAATACTGCAGAATAGTCTAAAAAAGGAAAATACCAAGATTCCAGAGATAGTGGCAGAGAGGCCACAATGAATGGAGCAGAAAACGAAATGAAGAAGACAAATTGACAACAAAAA